AGTAAGTAAGTAAGTAAGTAAGTAAGTAAGTAAGTAAGTAAGTAAGTGGCATTATGCACTCCGAAAATGTGGCACAGTTCAAATATTTGGGATTGACAGTAACAAATCAAAACTTGATTCAAGAGAAAATCGAGATGAAACTGAATTCGGATATTGCTTCATACCATTCTGTCAAGAACCTTTTCGTCTTTTCATCTGCTGTCTAAAAACATAAAAATTAGAATTTACAAAACTATAATTTTGCCTGCGGTTCTGTATGGGTGTGAAATGTGGTCTCTGACACTAAGGGAGGAACACAGACTGAGATATTTGGACCGAAGAGAGATGAAGTGACTGAGATATTTGGACCGAAGAGAGATGAAGTGACGGGAGGTTAGAGAAAACTGCATAATGAGGAGCTTCATAATTTTTACTCTTCTCCGAGTATAATTAGTCCTGTAGGGTGAGATAAAGAGGGCAGGTAGTACACACAGAGGAGAAGAGGAATGCATATAGGATATTGGTGTGAAAGCCAGAAGGAAAGAGGCCATTACAAAGATGAAGATGTAAGTGGGTGGATAATATTAAAATGGATCTTAGATAGGATGGGGTGGTATGGGCTGGATTCATCTGACTCAGGATAGGGACCAGTGGAGGGCTCTTGTGAACATGGTAATGAAACTTCGGGTTCCATAAAATGCTGAGAAGTTCTTGAGTAGCTGCACAATTGGCGGCTTCTCAAGAAGGGCTCAGCTCTATGAAGTTAGTGTCATGCATATGTAAGGCTTTAGCCAGCAAGGATGTTTAGGGTAGGAATGGTCAAGAACTGCATTCTGATTACCTTTGAAATGTTGTGGCTGTTACTAATTGAAGCATATAATCAAATACGAATACCTGACATATTTCCGAATGTTTTCAGGAACATCCAACTGAATCATAAATGCAGTATCTGGCACACATGATTAGAAAGTATCGTTCTACTCACTGCCAATTTATACTATACAGNTTAATGACAAAACAACAACAAAAAAACAACAACAACAACAATACCATCTTCTGGGACGCTTATGCAGTTTAGTCTGCTAGAGGTTCATTAATGTTTTGGAGGAATAAACTACAGTGAACCCTCCCTAATTTGGAATAATTGGGATGGGGGATGTCATCTGGATGAAATGATAATCCAGATTAGTGAAGCAAAAGGTAGCCCTAAAAGACAATAAACTTAGAACACACATAAATGGAAAATTTAATGATGTAAGTAGTGCTAATGAAAATAAGTGGAAAGTATCACTGTATAGCATTTATTTAAAAATATAAAAAGACAATGTATTTATTCATCTATAGAAATCCCAAAAGTTATACTTGTTTTGAACATAATAATTCAGGTTTGAAGAAATGTGAACGAACAAGTGACTCATGTGCTTTCCTAATTTCCATGTGTCTTATAAAGTATGTACTCAACTGTTAACAACGTTTTTCATATTTCTGTCTGGATTATCCAATATCCGGATAAACTGTAACTGGNATCCAAAATAATAAATGCATTTTTTTAAAAACATAAAAAATGTTTTAATAATAATAATAATAATAACAATAATAATAGTAATAACAACAACAATAATAATAATAGTCCTAAGTGCAACAATTTATTGTAGTTCTTTCATCTTCCTTTCTTCTACACTATATGTTTCGGCTGTAAACGGCCATCGTCAGGTGTATACTCGCACGTAGCTGCTATGCTGCACGTAGTTTAAAATTTTAAAAAATACTAGTCTTCCCAATTGTTCATTTTTCCGTTGCTAACAGGTTTCGATATATCAGAATCCTCCCCGTTGATATCTGTCACATATGTACAAAATCTTTGTTAACCTACACATGTCAATTTGATTTTCAAAAACTGGCACTTTTAAAATCTTCAATTCCAATTTAAAAATTTCTTCAATTTTTTTTTTTTTTTTTTCAAATTTTAAAATTTAAAATTCTCAGGGGTACCCGCCGTATGTCTATGGTGCTGCAGCGGCTACTTCTTATTTTCAGCACTGTTCAGGTATTGTGTGTAGGCTCCCTGTGTGCGTGCCGCTACTTATCTTTAATACTTGTGTAGAGTAACAGGATGCTTAAATATAATATTGTAAACTGTAACTGGATTAGCGAGAGTTTACTGTACCTCCGTCTTTACGATCGAAGAATGAACCAAGAAAGCAACAAACAGCAGACAGAATGGAGCAAGTAGAATGGTTATTCATGCTGCTGTTTTAGTTTACTCTTCACTCCTGAAGATGGAAGTAGCAAATCCCTCCGAAATGTCAGTAAACATCTATCAGACTGTGTGACATAACATCCTTGAAGATGGTGCTGTTCATAATCACTGCCATGAGAACCCCACATCTTGGATAATGACAACGGTATATTATAGTTTTAGTTATTGTTGTTATTATTATTAGTTTCTTCTCAGCAGTGATATTGACTGTTGAATTGCAGGTTTAAAATTTCCATCAGAATTGTAAGGCTTATTATGTCAATACACAGATCATATCTATCAGAAATTAAAATTAGTTTGATAAATTATTGATTCTAAAAGAGGCAATTTTTCTTCTTATTATCTCCAATTTGATTTATGGTCTCCACACTAAGTATTTAGGACAAAGGAAAGCAGTAAATGCTAGACTGTTCTGATTTAGCTTATATTTTTTATTTTGCTTACTCTAAGGATATGAATTCTTTTATGGAGAGTGCATATTGACTGCACGGTGCAGTGTTTTGAAATTCATGTCATTGGTAATACTTTGATCTACCTTATTTTACTAAATAATAAGTGTACGATTTTACAAGTGATTTTAATGGTGAATGAAAGAATTTGCAGAATTTATGATCATGATATTTGTGTTTAATATTTAATATCTGCATTGGTTGTGTACTTCATTTTGGTTAAGTCTCCATTTTTGGGGTTTCTGTTACCACACTCTTAGACATACTGATAGTTGGTCTGCCACGAATAAGCATCCAAATGTTATTACGCTTAATACATGTGTTAACAAACAGGTTGATTCCGATGTCTTTGCTGCCCCCTACATTGTCTGTAGCTGAGAGAATCAATGAACTAGAGCGCCAGCAGACCAGGTACACGTACCTGGATCCAGACAAGCGACATCGTGTGTCAGATCCAACACTGAAAGCTATCCAGAAGAAAGCACTGCTGTCATTTTATGAACGCCATCATTCTGCCACTGCAAGGAGCCAGACATGGAGATCAGAGCCTCAGTTAGCTCAGCCAACATCTGTTGCACCTTGCCCACAGTCACCTCCTCCTCAACCACCTCCTCGACCCCGTGCCTCACAGTCATCCCGCAGAGCCTCATCAGCGTCAGACTATGCTGGTGGCTCATGGCGAGAGGTAGGCTATGACTATTGTAATGTAATTTCTTCTCATGTTACATATATCGGGAGCCATGATAGCTCAGTTGGTATAGCAGCAGGCTGTGGGCTGGATGGCCAGGTTGTGATTCCTGGCAGGGACAAGAGATTTTCCTCTTATCCACATCGTCCAAACCAGCCCTGTGGCCCATCTGGCCTCCTGTCCAATGGGTGTCAGCAGCACTTTGCCCAGGCTTAAAGCGGCTAGGGTGTGAAGGTGACCATTCACCTTCATTTAATGTCAAGGTGGAAGTACACCTACACTTCTCCATACGTCTTAATGGCTTGATTAATTAAGCATAGGGACAAGTTTACCTTTGTTATTACAGATAAGAGAACTTTAATGTTCATTTTCACATTATTATATAGAATTATCCAGAGTAAATTATAAGTGATTGTTAGTGATTGACTTAGAGGTTTAATTTGCTGAACCCCAGGAGTATAATAGAGCATGCACATTGTTAAGCAATGCTTGTATCTATTTAGAGGCTAAAATTGAAATTCATTTTATGATATTAAGAAGATGAATGCTAGGTACATCCTTGTTCATTTGTTGGACAAAATATGTAAAATCAATGGATAATCAGGAGGTCATGCATGTCCATTTGCATACTTAATCTCCATAACTAGCACACTGATTCTAATTAAGTTTGGTATCGGAACTAAAGGTTGTCAGGAAATTTCTGTTTTTGTGTATAATCCCTGCTGTACATTAAACCAAATTTAAGATTTTTTAGAATCAGCTCATCATACAGCATGTTGATGCATGACATGAGATCTTGTTGAAGTCCATGAACTCATTTGATTGGACAGATATTTATTGACATAAAAGGACAAATGGTTTCAGATATTTGAACACAGAAACTAGCACTTCAAATCACTATGAAGTCTTTTTGTCTTCAGTCACTTTGTGCTACTCTATCCTAATCTGTACTCAACTAATCTTCACAGTTCACTAAGGACATGCTCCATTCTTGTCCTTGTACTCTCAAGTGTTTCCAGCTTCTGAAGTCGCTGCTCCTATAAGCACTCTGCACAGACCCAACAGAAAACACAGTCAGTATCATTGATGACATCACCACGTTACATAGCATGGTCCGATAGGCGGAAATGTGTTCACTGAACCATTGCCTAGAAACAGATTGCATAACCCCACTGTTATATTGTTATGTGCATGTAATAGTTAGCAATGGCTGTTTCTGTGGCTCAACAGTAAATATGCCACAATATTAAATGTGGTACCCAGTGAATTTGACAGTAAAATACTTTTATATGTCTGATATATATTACACCATTTGTTCTCTTCACAGACGGCAGTAAATAAAGAGAATTTTAACTCTGAGTCTGGTAGTATTCGTGATGGGCCACGCCATCAACACAGGTAGGTGGATGAAGCATTTGGTGTTATAAAATGTCCAGCTGTAAAAGATGCCAGTCCATTAATGATGAATACTGATCTACTTTTATTAGTTCCAGCTGTGGCTCTCTCTCTACTGATCTGCTTGGACCGCTCATAGTCGGTCCATCCATCTCTGTTGATGACTGGGTTCCAGAGCGACCTCCTAAGAAACCTCATCTACGAGCTGCTTTTCCACCACCTGTTCCTGAACGACTTCCAAGTCCAGACTTGCCTCCACCTTCACCACCACCAGTACTTGAAGATGAAGTGTTTGCGTCTGATGAACCACTGCCTCCTCCGCCTCCAGAACTTCATTCTCCTGACAGGACAGTTGTGTCTGAATCTCACGAGGAAAGAACTTCTTCACCCCCAAAACAGTTGTCACAGAACATTTCATCACTTCAGAGGCATCAAGATACTACAGTCCGGAATTTGGAAAGTAGTTCAGATAGAAGTCCAGAGAATGGCAGTCCAGTCCAAAATGAATCTGCAGCCCAAAGACATGGTGAGAACAGTGTTACTTCACCTCAAAGACAATCTGGAAACTTGACACAGCGGCATCCAGAAAATATGACATCACCGCAGGGTCCTTCAGAAACCAATGTGCCTCAGATATCTGCAGCAAATAATCTGCTTTCTAGTAGACATGTTGATGGTTCTAACCAAAAAGTCCAAGACAAGTACTGCAAAAACAGTAGCCTTGCAGATAGCAACCACACCCTGCAGAGACAAACAGAAAATGGAATTTCATCCCAAAGGTATCCAGAACGAGGCTTGTCACTTCCAAGAAACACTGAAGATTGTGTTGTACCACATAAACGTCTTGAGAATATCATCACGTCCCAAAGACATCTAGAGCATAGCAACGTGACTCAGAGACACAGAGAAAGTGCTACAACTCAGAAGCATGTAGGTAAGAGCAATCAAAACCAGGGATCTGTCAGTAATGAAATTACCCTTCAGAGATACCACCAGAATGGCTCATCCCTGAGGCATCTGGAAAATGGCACTGGAAGTCAGAAACAAGCAGAAAATGGAAATATAACTTCAAGACTAACAGATAGCATGAATGTAACGCAGAGATCCATAGATACTAATGTCTCCATGACTAGGCATACCAGCAGTGCAACCCTGACTAGAAGACAAGAGTGTGGTGCAGTCAGTAACAGCCATGTGGGAAACAGTTCAAGTCATCAAGGCTACATTGTAACATCCCCAGCATACAGAAATATGAATGACACATTTGCAAGAACTTCAACTATCAAGCCATTAGAAAGTGATACATGTACTTCTGCAGGAATGCCCTTGTCCAGACATGGCGATAACACCAGATCATCACTACGTTATCCAACTCAGAAATTAATGGTGAATGGAAAGCTGGCGACACCAGTTTTAGAACAGATGAAGCTGCAAGAGAAACCACCAGATTCAGTGAGGATCACAGATAGAATGGGTTTCAGGAATGGAGAAGTTGTGCTCCCATCCAAACTTCGTCTTCAGAATTTTCCAACCGCGGTAAGTAATGGAGCAGGTAATATGCCAGAAGAACCATCAAGAACGTCCACATCTCCACAGATGGTTAAACAGGAGAACAGTGTAAGTGGGAAGCTAGAACAGACGGAGGGGAGAGATCGTGACCCCAGAATTTCACCATCGTCGCCTACTGCAGTTTCTTCCGAGGGAATTACGAATGATCCACAGCATGTTGACGAGACAGAGCAGAAGATCCAGGAACCTCCTGCACCAGTCACTAGACTCGCCATGCGCTGCCAGTCGTAAGTAGGACCATTTCACATTGCAGTATTAACCATGCCTCTGTTGTCCAACAGTAGTAAATCACATTCTAATTACAGACAGACATTAAATTTGCATGAAATTCATGTTGAAAAATCCAAATTTTTTGTGGTTAATTTGAAATTTGTAAATTTGAGAAGAATACCATCTTCTGGGATGTAGTGCCATTTAGGTAGTTTGTTAACCGACGTTTTGGAGGAACGTATCACCTCCATCTTCAGAATATAAGCAATCTGGAAGTGATGAATCAGTGTGAGCCAACACCTGAAGATGGAGGTGATATGTGCCTCCAACATGTCGGTTAACAAAATATGTACACAGTGCCACATCCCAGAAGAGGCATTCTTCATAGTCAGTGCTGTGAAAACCTCAAATCCTATATTGTAAATTTAAATTTGGCTGTTCTTTTTAAAAGTGAATGTGATTCTGAGTTATGAACTGGATGATCTAGCTTAAAGGATTACATTTGTAAATAACCCAGCTTAAATTCTGATAGCGAAATTTACCACACCTGGATGGTGTAGGTATACTGCCATAATTTGGCAACCAGTGCTTCGTAGCCTCTGCAAGACAGATGTAATGTTTGAAGAAAGCAGTCTTCTGGGATTTGGCACCGTGTATAAGTGGTGTTAACCGACGTTTCGGAGGAACGTATCGCATTTAACCTTGCCTTTCTCTCCCCTACACAAAAACCACGCTTGTCCCAGCTCCCTTTCCCCTACCCCTCCCACACTACTGCTTTCACTTGTATACTTGCCCTTCCCCCTTCACCCTCACTGCTCTCACATAGCTGTGTATATTCCCAAACAGTCTGCTTTTACCGGTTCTCACGGTCTCTTCGCTTGCAGAATTCTTATATTTTCTTCTACCCTGAAGATGGAGGCGATACGTTCCTCCGAAACTTCGGTTAACACCACTTATACACGGTGCCAAATCCCAGAAGACTGCTTTCTTCATAGTCACCGCCGTGAAAGCCTCAAATCTTACAGATGTAATGTTTGATTTGATGTTTCCACGTCAGTGACTGTTACAGTTGCACTTTTCAAGGATTTGACATTGTGTAATTTCGTGGATATGTAGTAATGTTTTGGAGGAACTGGTTTGGTCTACACAGTGTCACATCCAAGAGAGCCTTAGTGTTATACTCTTCCTTGTGTTTCATTGTCCACTTCCTCATTCAGTGCACTAAGAGGATAAACTAATGGCTTCTGAGCCTGTAATATGGCTTCTGTATTGTGGCCTTGTTCCAATTTTAGAAGCTGTCTCTGTTTTGCAGGAAAAAGGCTAACACTGAGAAAATTCATGTATAGACCATGTAGTCATGAATAGTCATTGCAGTTAAGTTTACTTAAAGCATGTAAAATATTCAGTTTGTACGTCACATGAAACATGATGTCTCTGCTACAAAATCAGACAGTTTATGCTGTTCAGGAAAATGATAGCTGTTTACTGTGAGAACCATACAAAACAAGGCAAACACACCATGTGGGCAGAATGCAGAGTCATGATGTTTTAAAATGGGTGGTACATATAGTAACCACAGGCCTTTGGAGGGTTAACTAACATATGTGAAAGTTATAATTTGTTTATGTGTAACCACCATTGCTTGAAAACAAATGTAGGAATCGGAGTAAAGATCGATGCATTCTTATATGTTGCGCTGTGTGGAGGTTAGTAATGATCTTCACTCTCCATCCACTTGACCCTGGCAGAAGACCTCCCCCCCACCTAGAAGATTGTGTGAATCTTGAGGGTAGTCTATATTTGATAAAGAATGAGAAACCCTTGCTCATATCAGGAATTACACCCTGGCCAGCTGACCTATAACCTATTAAAGGCTGAGCTGCCATGTGATAGATTGTTTGTGGGCAGGTTTTGGGATGGTAATTTGATTTATTGCACACTTTTGTAGCCGATGACTGCGCTTGACAGATCATTATCACACGCATATTAGCGTTCTTAGTCACGTTTTGCTTGGTAAGTTTAGCGTAAGGCCGCTTGGCGCGCCACTGTCAGTGTTTCGAAAAGTTTAACTGCAGGGCTCGATAATAGATGACACTGCTAACTATTGTTTGACACATGCCGAGTAGAGAGTAACCTACGTAATTTAACTGCATTTATCGTGATTAAAGTGGGATGTAAAGGCATTCCAGCTTATTACATTACGTTAACTGAACTTTGAGGGATGCCCAGCTCGCCTGTAGGCATTGCTTGTTGTTTTTTTATTTTGGTCATTTAACGGCGCGTTCAGTATCGGAGCTGTATAGCGTCTATCATAGGATGATTAATAAATATGGAGAAGTTGCTGGAATGAACATTGGCAGAAGAAACCGTAGTGTTCGGACAGTAGGTGCCCGAAAGCCACTTTATCCACCACAAATCCCACGTGACGTGACCTTCAATCGAACCGCGGTGGAAAGCCGGCTGCTAAAGTCCTGAACTGTAGAACTGCCATTGTTGTTATTATCACTAGAACTACATTAAGTGAATAAGTAAATGGCGGTAAGAAAGACATCGAGAAAGTTTTTGGCCAAGGGCTTTTTAGTCTGTAATTGCAACATTAACAGCGAGTTCTTAACGCGTCACTAGCAGAAGACTATGCAGATTTTTTTCAGGTTTACAAGTTGCATCTCTGAGATTGTGATTGCACTTCTGAATCTTTGCACGCTCTTGTTTTGGTTACGCCATGAATTACTGTTCCTTAGCAGCAATAATATACGCGACACCCTCTATCCGCAAAAGTTGGCACTAACTTCGCCGACAACCGGCGGTCGCTCGGTCGGTATAGTTCGCTTGCGGACTATAGGCCACGGAGTTTTTTTATCACCAATGTTATTGGATTAATCTGGCTTAGGATGGGGACCAGTGACGGGCCCTTGTGAACACGAATGAATCTTCGGGTTCCATGAAAACAAGAACAAACTCTGTGATTTTAGTTCGCAAGTGAAAACTATATCGACCGACCGACCGCCGCTTGTCGGTGAAGTTTAGTGCCAACTTTTGCGGATAGAGGATGTCGCGTGGTCAGCGCAACGAATCCCCACGGCCGTTAATTTCTGTTTTCTAGACCGGAGCCGCTATTTCATTGAAATAGCTCCGCAATTATGGGTTCCATGAAATGTTTGGGAAATTCTTGAGTAGCTGAGCAACTGGTGGCTTCTTAAGAAGGACTCTGCAACATGGAGACCCTGTGGAGAAGAGAAAATTCTTGACCTTACCGGGAGTCGAACTTAGACCCCTCTGTCGTCCATGCCGTACCGACTGCGGTATCCCTGCTCCTACAGTAATCGTGGTGCCCATTAGTACGTAAGTTCTTTGCCTCTCTTGGTCTGCTGATATGAAAAAGTTTGTCTGAAAAGTATTTTCATTCCTGCATTTTCTCTAACATACCGGAAGAAGAAGTAGATACAGATGAGAAAGGACCATATATTTTACAAAGTGAGGTGGAAAAAGCTATCAAGGAAATGAGGAAGGGAAAGGCTACAGGAGATGATGATGTACCTGGAGATGTGCTCAAGTTACTGGGAGAAGGTGGTTTGAAAACACTGACAAAACTAATGAACACCATATATGAAAGTGGGGAGTGGCCCAAGGACTTTACAGAAGTTACAATGATTGCCTTAAAGAAAAAGACAAAAGCTACAAAATGCAGCGACCATCGCACAATAAGTCTTATTGCACATACAGCAAAGATAATAGCAAAGATACTTAAAAG